CTTAGTTTTTCTGTGTTAGCCTTGCATTAGACTTGTAACTTGTCCAGGGTTTATCCCGCCTTTCCCCTTTTGACAGCTGGGACAGACTTCGGCACCCCCGCACCGCTAATTTGGATAAATCAAAGAAAATAGATGGAAGGATCTTTTTAAAATGCAATTTATACACCACGTGTAAAAGGTTGAGGGAAAATTATGGAAGTTACCAATGGAATAACAACAACTAATAACAATTAAAACAGACTTGCACTTTGTCTTGATGCATGCTTGATCATCCAGGTAAGTAAATCCCACAAGGTTGACTCTGTTCATCTGGACGTAACGTTTTCAGTGGGAGAAACGTTACGTCACTCATCCAAGTGACTTCTTCACTCTCAGCTGACTGCAGGTTTCCCCAACCTTATAAACAGTACATTTGCATAATGACTGAAACCAGCACCACTGAATGAACAATGGGCTGGGAGGTCAGTTCCTTGATTATTATTAATATGCAAATTCCCATGACCATTGATCAACAACTATTGTCCTGGCCTGACGAGATAGCTCTTCTGTCAGGCCAGGACTCCGCAGTCTATTTACACCTACAGGCCAGTGGACACTCTTTCAATGAGGATGTGCACATCCTGGACAGGGAGGAACGCTGGTTTGAGTGCGGAGTCAAGGAGGCCATTTACGTTAAAAGGAAAAGACCATCTCTGAATCGAGGAGGGGGCCTGAGGGTACATTTTCCACCATCTTACAATGCTGTGATTGCAGCCATTCCCCAACTCTCTGGCTATTGATCAGTGGTTGCTGATTAATGGTTGTTGATCAGTGGTCATGAGTATTTGCATATTAATGATCAAGGAACTGATCTCCCAGCCCATTGTTGAAACTATGCATCAACAGTACATTTGCATAACTGTTTATAAGATTGGGGAAACCTGCAGTCAGCTGAGACTGAAGAAGTCACTTGGATGAGTGACGAAAACGTTACGTCCAGATGAACAGAGTCAACCTTTTGAGAGAGACTTGCACTTTATGTGATAAACATCTCATCTCAGGACAATGACAAATACATTCAATTTTTTTAAAGCCCTTCTTTTCCTCAAATGAACTAATTCTGCAGATTTACAGTAGTAAACACTAATATTTGTTACTCATTTATAATATTTGTTACATGTCAACGATGCTGGAGTTATTGCGTCTGTTTAGTTTTATGAGGGTCAAAACTTCACACCCTGCTTCCAGATGTCTGACAAATGGAGAGGATGTTAAATCTGGAGAACTTCCTCAGTTAGTTTCCTCTGTCCCCCATCTTGATTTACGCTCTCATGTCTTGCCCTTCTTTTGCGACTTCTCCAGCTTCCTGCCCAAATTCCAGAAGGATGGCATCATCTACGAGCGATCCTTCCTAAACATTATGGCGGAAGGAGGGGGGGGAAATGAGCAAAAACAGGTGTCACCTCTGAATAGGCCTTTACCCGACCTCCCAGGAGCTAAATGGCTTGGCTGCCCCCTACACAAGGTGAGTATGACATTAAACAAAATGATAGGCTTTGTTAATGGCATCACGGTGCACGGATGGCTGTAAAACAAAAGGTTTAGCAGCTTCTTGTTTTGGCTCGGTGTTGACAGAAAGGGTGGTGGTTGAAATGATCCGTGACAGTGCTCCGGGGTTGATGCGGAGTGCATCAAAATGTTGTAATGCTGCTAAAGGAAAATGAGAAATAACTATGGGTGCAGTTTATTTGCTCCCAAAAGGCTCTGCACGCGCAAACTGTACAACCCAAAGTCTTTTCACTATTACATCAATTTAAACAATTAATTTGTTAATATTCCCAGAAGTAAAAAGAAAAACAAAACAATTATGAACAGATTAATTACATTTGCATTTATATAATTCATGAAAAAACTCAAGAAAAAAAAACATGTAGCAAAACAATCAGTTTCTGATTGCCCTGACCAACCAATACATAAACTTAATCTAATTAACGTAAGACAATCAGAAAATGGAAAACATAAACAGCAGAAAACAAATTAATTGCATGATTGATAAGCAGACACAGTGAATGAGGGGGGAAAGGTAAAAATGAAAGAATCCCTTTTTATAAACAGACTTGCGATTACATTTTGAAAACCAATTATTACTTCAATTAAAAACAGAATAAGCAACTAGAATAATTAACCAGCAACTTTTTTTTTCTTAAACTTTAGACCTGTAGTGCAGAGTTTTTGTCTCTATTGGGAAGTGAGATCGGAGTTTCCTTCCTCTTTTTTTTGGATGTTTCCGGTGTTTGAACACTGTAGACTCAGACATGGTCTCAGCTGGATGAGCTTACTCTGTTGCTATTAGTCGTTCAACTGTGGAAAGCCAACTATTGCTGGCTGATGTGAAGCACGTGCATCAGTGTACAGATGTCTCCACAGATACTGGATTTAAAGCTCTGGAATGCTGTGAAGTACGTATAGATTGAGACAGCATTAAGAGGCTTTATCAGCAATGTGGAAACTTGCTTGGCAAATGTTCATATATGTACAGGAAATACATTTACTGTATAGTCCCTCCCTTCATCATGCATTATAAACTAAATTTAGTTTTCCAATTTCTCTGAGATTCTCTGAATGCAAATTTGTATTCATTTACAGACTATCAGCCAACTGTAGGTTCCACGCAAGCAGGATTCTTAAAGATATGTGTGCATGTAGCTATTTTTGTGTTAAATATTTGTAAATGCAAAGTAGTGCCAGCACTCGTTTGGACGATTTAAAATTTTCCACTGGCATTTTTTTAAAAATCTGGCAAACTGTTATGAGTAGGATACAGTGATGAAAGCTTTTATGTGAAACACATTAGCCTGATGTTTACGGTTAATACAGATATGATTTAATTGAGGTTAATTCTTGCAGTGGAGAAGTGCCATTTCCATATTTCAGAGATGTTTTTGGAACTCATTATGCAGCTTTTGGCTGAGAACTGAAGCAGATGAAGGTTACACGAAGACGATCACCTTTAAGACGGGGGGGTTTGTTGGGAAGAGATCAGAGCTTTTCTTCCCAAAAAGGATTTTTGGAGAGCCTTTCAGCAAGGTGGTAGAGCCGCAAGTACTGGAATTATTAATGGCAAACAGAAAGTGTAGTTTTGTTTTGCACAGCCAAGAGAAATAACTCCTTAATTACTGGAACTCGTCCATGGACATTCTCGACATTTGGCCAAAACATATTAAGGACTGATTGTTTCATCGATTATTATTATTATTATGCCCAAGAAAAACAACATTTGGTCACTGATAGCATGCTGTAGGAAAAAGGAAATAAATCTTTATGTTACAATGTGTTGCCCCATTCTGAGGATTGCAGCTGTGTGGGAAGAAATATTGGGCCATAGTTGCAAGTCACTGAGTTAAACTAAATGCATGGAGATCTAAAGGCTTCAAACAAGTCAACAAGTAATACGTACTCTGAAAAAACCCCACTATTGGGCAGCATGCAGCCCGGTTTGACTCCTGCCCTATGGTAGCTGGGACGGCCCCCCGATCACCCGGATAAGCACAAGTGGCTAAAACATGAATGTGAAAGTGAACTTAAACAGTTTAGAATAAATCCCTGGTTTTGTTAGTACCGTATTAATTTTTCTGAGCTTTTTTACTTTCTAGAGACATTTTTATTGTTCATCTTCTTATGTTTATGTCAGTTTTTTACTTAAGCAACTTTATTTTTTCATTTTATTCTATTGAACCATTTTCTTTTAGAGAAATTTTACTTTATGGAGATGTTTTTTTGTGTCATATTCTACTTTATCGAGCTAGTCTACTTTTAGTCTACTGCAACACTGGAATTTTCCAACATTTGCATTAAATTACATATGTTTCCCAATGATATGACCTTCTTCCCTATTCCCAATGGGATGTACACAATGCCTTTTTTTTAAACATTTATGGTTTTGAACCAAATTCCATCCCTGGATAAAGGAAACCACAATATCCAACAACAGTATATGAGCCTAAGTATCCAGCCTACAAGGTATGAGCTGAAGCCTGAAAGCACCTGTTAGTTCTGACTGGGTCTGAGTGCACTGCAGTAAACCCTGGGAGGGCTGTGCATGTTCCATATTTCAGCTGTATTTGAATACCAATGTGGAATGAGACAGCTGAAACGGCATCCTGTGTTCTTGTAAATCCACACTTGTCAGTGCCAAATGCCCTCATAAATGCAAGCGTGAATGGCCGGGTATTCATGCGAGCTTCCTCAGTGAACCTTAAAGGATGTGGTCTGAAGGTTATCATCGACAGTCTGCGACTCAAAATTTCAAAGCAGAAATAAGCACACAAAATCCCCTCTGTTGTCTCACTGTGATCGTGGCATTGTTACACATGACATGTATAATTCCTTCTTAATGTCATGCTATTAACCCAGTAAAAAGAACGACTGCTGTGAATGTTAAAAGCGCAGGATGAGGTAGAGGGATCAAACTGCTTCCAGCTCTTTTTCCTGTGTACCTATATCTTAGTTTCTCTTAACACATGCAGGCTGTTGTCTTAAGCAGCATTAATTGTATTTAGTTAGGATGTCACCTTTGGCCTGAAGAACAAAAACAGTAGCAGGGAGCTGCTCAACAGGTCCCCTGTGAGTCACAGTGGGAATAAGGTTGGACTTAATAACAGGAAACACGGTGGTGTTTTGGGAGATTATCTCATTGTATTCACCAGGTCGGTTACACGGGGGGAGACAGCGCCGTTACCCACTAGCCAAATGTTTGTTTCAGTTATGTTTGTACATCAACTGCTACACCATTTCCCCCCACGGGAATTAATGATTTCATCATGTTATCTCCTCTTTATCCATCAAACTCTCTCAGTTTGTCTTTCTGAAAAAGACATCAGCAAGCAGCCCTGACAGGTTTGACATCTGACTGCAGAGTCCCTCGTGGTTAATTGGCGACACGTCTGATCAGGGTTCAGAGTCGGGGCTGGGAAGAAAAGCTGGGGAGGGGGAGCGAGACAGAGGCAAGGCGAGGTTGGAAACAGGATGGAACAGCCTTCTGTTTTATTCTAAATTTGATATGTACAGGAAGAAGTGGCTGCATACATTTCTTAATAGATCATGTAAAAGTTTTCTGAAAAAAAACCTCCAACAACAACAAACACAACAATTGCACATCAGCATCTAATAACTTCCATTTGTTTTGAGATACTTTAAAACACATCCTGCTGCAGTATGTTTGAAGGCATATCAAACAGAGTACAAATACAATGATAACTGTCCGCAAGTGTTGGCTCTTACAAATATTAAAAGAGAAACGTTCAGGAAAGTGTACCCTTAATATGAATTTTAAAAAAAAACAACACAAAATCCACTGCAATTTGTGTGCTGCAGTGTCACTGACAGAAAAAAAAAAATCACATCATAACCTTCTTTGTGTAACATTTTGTGATATTATCTCAGGCACTTATTGATATAACAGGAACAGCTGAGCAGCTAAATCCACTGTATCCTTCTAAATATGCTGGTCTGCAATTTGTGTTCACAGCAGGAACCAAACACTTGGCTAAAATAATGTGCGCAATGGAGAATGCTTTTACTCTCATCTGCACAGCTTGTGTCATTTTTTTTGGTACGTTTTTCATCGGCTTCATTCTCAGGTGGGTTTAAAAACCTTCAAACTGGGAAGACGGCCCCCCCTCCCCAAAAATCTGTTTCTATCATTGCACCCATGCACACATAAGTATGTGCGCTGAACAATATTGCTAAGTTTAAACCTGGAACGATGCCACTACAGGTTCAATTTTACTTCATCTCATTCATTACCCTTACCAGGCCTGCATCTATCCCAGCGAGGGTCTTCATTAACCAGCAGGAGATCATGTTTATCATGCAGCTTCCCTCTGCATATGGAGACGGTGTGGGAGTGAAGGGTGATTATGCACTGCCCGTTTGTTCTCTGTAGCTTTTTCTGTATTTCCCTTTTGTTTAAAATTTGACCCCTGCCCCGTTTCATTTGTTAGCTCGGAGGCAGACACAATCACGTCACAAACATTATCGCTGTCATAGAAAGACGAGCACCGAGTAAGAGGTTGCCACCTACGGCAGCAATTATAATAGTGGGCTGGTGGCAGTATTTATTTATTTATTTTAAAGTATGTGTCATCGATGCCCAAGCGTTTTTTCCCAGTACACCTACAACATCTGGCTTCAGTGATTAGTGCCTCACGAAAAGTTTTCAATCAGCAGCTGCAGAGTTGGGCCAGAATGGAAATTTTATCTAGTCTTGCAGATATTTCTTGTTTAATTTCTTCCGGTTTTTTTTTTTTTAAGTTCTGTTTCCTCACAAAATGGAGAACAACAACAACAACAACAAAATAGAGAAAAAAGTCCTTCTCAAGGCTGTCACAGCAAAAACCTATGAAACCAGTTCAGTTTGAACAGAATCAGTGGGTTTGTCAGGAGGTCCGACGTAAATCTGTGTGCAACCTTTTCATTTTCATAACAATCTTCTTCAATTTTAAGCGGAGCCATTGGTAGAAAAGGAGAGGAAGACATTTGAATAAATCAAATGTAAATAGCTAGCTAACAATAGACAGTTCGACAGCAAGCAAAATAAACTGAAGCGCTATTGTGACTAGTGTGCGTTAGCATTATTCCAGCCTGAAGATTGCTGTGGAATCTTCACCTGTGTCACACAAAACCCCTGCTGCCCGGAAAAGCCACTTCCATGGGAACTCCATGCAGGGCGAACGGCCAGATGACCCTCTCACCTTGCGTAATGATTAATGAAAGCCTGTTTGTTTACTTGTGAGCCTGTGGAAAGATTCCATATTTGTACCAGCTGCACAGAGAAAGAGGTGGTAAACACAAAGTTAGCATAACCCACTAAGCCTGACTGCCATATTAAGGGAAACATTTCAGGAGGGTTAAAAGGGAGTTAAAAATGTTCGAAACGTTTGTTTGGAAAGAACGGCTTCTTTCGTTCTGCTATTGTCAAGAGAAAAGTCCTATTTCATCGAGCAAACTCAGATCTAGACACTGCAAAATGTGAGCCAGTAAATAAGCTGTTGTTATTTTGTTCTGCCCTGTAAAAGCTTTTGGCATTCAGATTATCTATTGACTGATGCTTTTTTTTTAAAGTATGATAGCCTGTTTACCTGTTCCCTCTTTTTAAATTATTATGGAGAATGGGGCCGACTAAATGCTAACAACTGCAAAAAAAAATACAAAAAGCAATTATAGCAATTGAAAGCAATTAACTCCCAAGGACAGTTTTGCCTTTTGTTAAAACTGGGAAAAAGCTCCAGCTAATCTCACACTCGGAGGCTCGTTGTCTCTCTTCCCATCTTTATTCTGTGTCTTTTTTTTTTTTGGCTTTTATTCCACTCTTTATGTCAGAAGCCGGGCCCTCTGTCGATGCCTCCGGTGGCAGCGTTCTTTGGCTCTGGCAGGCAGCAGGTGGCTTGTGATGAAAAATTCAGTGCAGAGCCTGACTCGGGAGACGAGGAGGAGGAGGGTGGCACCGTGTAGCAGGAGGAAGAGTAAGGGGAAGCGAAGGTGTGAGATGTGCAAAGAAGGGAGAGCAGGGGAGCAGAGGATAAAGGTAGGGGTGTTGAGGTAGAAAAAGAAAATAGGAGCGTAATGAACAGAGAGAAGACGAGAACAACGCAGAGAGGATGAGGGCTCCAGACAGACAGGCGGGCGGGCCGGCAAGTCAAGCCCAGAGCCAAGCAGAGCGGCCAGGCAGAGGATCAGAGCTGTCTACCCTCTCTGCCTGAGCCTCCTCCATGGAGATAACACAAAATATGAATCATTTATGAGGGGGTCTTTTTTATTAATAACACACACAATGCGCCCCGCTTTCTTTCACACACTTTGCCTTGTTTTCTGTGCTCCCTGTGGAGTACTGTGCGAGTTGTGTTGCTGTGGAGAGAAGACTAAAAGTAGAGAAAACAGAATGCTGATAAACACCGGCAGCATCTGTCGGGGCTGAACGTGACAGGTGGGCAGAGTCATCCGCGGGACACATTCTTGATAGTGAAACATGTACCTTGTCACATGCCCACATGCAAAACCCACACAGAAACTTGCGCCTCCCCGTGGGCTCAAAAAAGCGCCCACTCACTTGCCTGTCTGCCCATTTGATTGTCAGTACACGACGATGCCAGATCTCGATGAATCAGAGTCCTGGACGACTGCGAACAAGCTTCGTGTCCGTGAATGCAGAGAAGGCACTGTTTGTAGGAGGGTGAATGACTGACTAGTATAGGTCATCCTCACAGCGGAGGACTGAACACAAACACCCACATACCGAGTACACTTCACAACTGTTTACCTATAAGCTCACTGCTAAACTATAAGACCTCTAGGTTGTCCCCTGTCAAGATTCATAGTGTCTATTTTTCTTTCTTCAAAACAATCCCCTTGGCTCTAATCGGTTCGTTTGGCTCTTCATCAACCAGTCCAATGATGCTCTTCAAGAATAAAAAAGTCTTCCTTTCTCAGAACCCAATCTATTAAGCCTCGCTAACTGTGAAGGCGAAGGTGGCACGTCGTGTCGGTACGGCCCTTTAGGAGAGGCGGGGTCTTTCAGATGTGCCGTGTACCCCTCATAGCTGCTGTTGCCAGCACTTTCCTGCATTAATTTCCCTTTGGCTTCTTGCTCTCTGCGTCTCTGCTCCTGCCTCAAGAGCTCCTGGGCCTCCAGAAGGACTCTGGCATTGACACCGCCTCCACCTGGATAGCCGTTCCTGGAGCCCTGGTAGCTGGAGTACCTGGGGTTGTCCTTAGCAGTCTGGAACCCTTCACCAGGTGGGTATGCCTTTTCCCAAGAGTCTTGGGAGATGGTGCTAGGGTTCTTCCTGGGTTGCCTGAAGTAGAAAGAAAAATACAGCAAGGGTAAATGTGAAACCGCTTTTGACATATTCATAAATAATTAACTCTAGGTTGTTTTTATCACCTCATTTTCACTCCGTATTTAGTTAATCACACCATCAGCAATCTGGAAACCTATCAGTTTCCAGTCCTTGCCTTTGGATATCCTGGCTGTGACTTCCTGTTACGTTGTCCTAGGATGATAGCTGACAGTTTCGATAGAGATTTCATTTTTGGCACGTGCGATCCCTATTTTGTTCAAGAACCGTTTACCTGCAAGTACACAAAGCCTCCTCTCCTCTTCAGTCAAGGCTTTCTTGTCTATAGAGTCAAGATATTCATATACACAATCTGTTTTTAGGGATGATGCCACCTGTGGTTATTTTCTGAATATATTTGCCTACAAACTGACTTCATCAGTTGTAGCAAATGCTGCAATTCATAGTGTAGGTTTGATAACATAGAAAGGGAAGCACTTTTGAAGCTGAGTGTAAAATATCACCAGTCTTATGTCAAAGTCAGCTTTTTTTTAAGCTTTTCCTCTCTGGTTCTTCTTCAGAGGGACTAAAAAGCGACGTTTAAAGCTCTGGAAAAATCTACGAGCGTTAGGTGAGATATTTTTTGTACAATGACTCGAAATTATGCCACG